TGGCTGCTCCGGCAGCTGTAGGTCAGATTCTTCCTCACGCTCCTTTTGAAGAAACCTTTGCAACCTTCACAACTGACAGCCCCATAGTGACGGCCTGAAGGGAAGTGAGTGAGCATATGATCTGGTTCATCATGAACAGAGGTGAGCTACCCAGCTCTACTCCCACTTGGAGTACACCCTGTCAGAAGCTGCCACCACAGGGGTTAATGGCAGCCCAACAATATGTTTACCTCATGTGTCTATATTTCTACAATAACCTTATATGGTCACGATGGAAATCCAAAGCTCATACATGATATGACTGTCCTTGGCACACAACTATCCCAACACACAGAACAGCTTAGGCAACACTGCTCCGGTGTACACACTACAGTGTGTTGTAGAAGTTGCTCAATGCCCACTCTCATTGTGGTGATATTTTATTTGTATGTTAATAAAGTTTGCCTGGAGATCAGAGGTCAGAGCAAGCCATAAACAGAAGTCAGGAGGTGGTAGCACACGCCCTTAATCCGATCACATGGCAGGCAGAGTCTTTGTGTGGTCAAGGATACAGCCAAGCGTGGTGACACACGCCTTTAATTCCAGTACCAACCATAGAGACTGGAGGTCTGTATAGATAGGCAGTGACGAGGAAGTGATGTGGCTGGGCATAGAGCCAATGAGAAGGCAGAACAGGAAGGCAATAAGAGCACAGGTTAGACAGGAAGAAGCTCTCCTTTGGGACGCTATGGAGTGGTGGTAAGCTAAGGTTAGTAAGTGGCTCTTTGCTATTTCTCTGATCTCTTCAGCTATTACCCCTGTATTTGGCTGTTTTTTATTTAATAAGACTGTTTAGAAATTCGTCTATACCTCACTGACAGACTAAACACCCTGTATCATTCCCTCATTCTTGCTTAATCTCAGAGTCATGTCTTTGTCCCTAAGCATGCCTCTGAGTGAATTACTCAGGCCCTTCAAGGAACAGTTACAAGCCACAGCTTATTTCTCTACTCTCATTTACTCAGGACAGTGGTCTTTAGCCAATGACACCTCAGCTCACCCTTCCTAGCTGACAAAGTGCTGTTGAACATCAGCAGAAGCTTGCAGCTAAGACTGGGCTCCTCTTGCTTGCAGAGCCCAAGACTACAGCTGAATTGTTAGGAAGATACTTCACAGCATCACTGTTCACATTGACTACAGAGGTAACTTGGAGGATCTCATTTTCCTTTTCCTTTAACGTATTATGGTGTGAAATGAACCCTGTCAATATTGCCTTGACCTCCCTTGCAATGTCTCCTTGAGCTTGCTGCTATCTCTGAGTGACTTCTAATAGCTGGACACAGTGGCACTGTAAGGCTATGTGATGAGGCCTTTTCTTGAAGCTTAGAAGATCCCTGATCAACAGGAAAACCAAGCAGTCTTTGGCCATTTCTGTTTCTGCTTCATTTATTCCCAAAATTGCAAAGTGTGTCTCCTTGTTGAGCAGGCATAGGTTTTGTTCAAATACTCTAATGGGAAAGTTAGTATCAATTATTGGAGAATGTAACAGATGCCTAGGATGGACTAGAGAAAGGCAACCAGTGGCAGCACTGTCTACCTGCTTCCAAGGGAAGATGGGGTTTTAAGTGGTAGGATGGACTGGCTTTACCAAGACAAAAAAAGGGTAGGAGATAAGAGGCAGGCACCAATGGTACAGAGAAATGGTACAACCAGCTTAGAGGGGGAAATTGGAGCTTCTGGAGATGCTTCCTAAGCATCTTCCTAGGTCTAGGCCCCTTTTCAAAGAGACAAAATGAAATATCAAGGACAACAAAACTTCCAGGGTTCATATGAGTGGAACAAAGCTGCCTCAGAACTTAGATTCCCTGAGCTGAGTTTTTCATTCCCCACTGCCTGCCTTACTGCCTCACTTACCTTCTGTGGCTCCCCAATGTTGGCAAGCCTCCTGTCTCCCTTCATCAGAACACTAACTGTGGAAGCCTTTGAGCTCTCCTTGAAGGACACCAGAAGCACAGACATAAATAACTCTAGAGGCCTTGGGTCTTCACCCAGTTCCAGAAAGCACGCGTGTGTGCGCACACACACACACACACACACACAGCCTTGGGTCTTTACTCAGCAGACATCCACATGTGTACAAGTCCCAAGAGGGACTGTGTGGTTCCTACTCCTACATTATAGATGCTTACACATAGGGTGCAGTGAAAGAATAAAAAGTGAGACAGTTTAGATGAGGGGAATTCTATATATAATACACCTTGGAAGATACAAACATGAAAGAAAGTTTCACTTTCTTAACAGCATATAAATACTATATAAATACAGAGTTTCCTGACTTTTCTTATCAGTTTGAATAACCTGACAAACTACTTTGCTTATTATGTGAGGTTCATGTTTTAAACCCACATATAATATTCTTTCTCAACTACCCACTTCCCTACCCTATGAAAGGTCATGCTGTTGCTCCATGATACGTGCCAGAAGCCGGAGTCACATACCAGAGGCTTTGTCACCACAGACCACACAGTACTCCACCACCTGGGGCCGCTGGACGTCTGCCTTCCCCAGCAAACGCTCCACAGAAGCAGAATC